AAAAAAGAAAAAGATCTCAAGAAAACAGTAGAGTCTGACACTAAAAAAGAAACAATCAAGTCAGGGGCACTGCAAAGGCCCATGCTGATTGATGCTCGCAACAGGAAGCAGTGATTCTGCAGTGATATAGCCCAGTTTTTTACCGAGAGGATTAATAAACTGAAAAAACTTAAAAAGAGTAAAACGGATGAGTAAGTTGTGGCATACGATTCATACAATGGAATATTTTACGCCAATACACATGAGTGGGCCATGCAGGCTAAATCAAATAACACGGATGGATCTTGTAATGTTGAACTACAGAGAGGTTATGGGGAAATACTGCAGTATAATTTCACTTACATGCAATTAAAACATAGGCAAACATTGTGTAGTGTTTTGAGATGCATGCATAAATGGTAAAATTATGAAGAAAAGCAAGGAAATCATCACTGTGGAAGTTAGGATCATGCCCCTCTAGACAGAAGGGACAGAGTTGTGAAGGCATGAGGTTACAGCGGGTGACTACGGTCTGGTCCGGCAACACAGTTCCTTGACCAAGGTGGTGAATGCACAGGATGTACTTTATAATCACTTTTATGCACATTTCTGTATGTGCGTTATATTTCACAATGAGACTCCCCCCTCCCCCGGCCCCCAGAGTCAAAAGAATATCCCCAGAGAAACAGGTAAGAGTTAAAAATCTTCCTGTGATTGTTCGCTTTGTTATTTTACTGTTGGTACAATTTTTCCGAGACAAGGACACAATCCCTGTGATGAAGTCCAGTTGAACAGCAACTGACTAGAGTATCATTTGGAAACCTGTGTCTCAGCATAGTGCAAACTACAACTTCATAGTGGAACCTCATCTTAAATACGTGTCAAGGTCAACCATACTCAAAGTTTTAAAAAAGGTAAAAAACATAAGCCAGCTAGAGATGTAAGAAAACAGGCACTAAATATACCAATGGAAATCAATGTTCAAATAACATAGGTTTGTAAGTATTTATATATCTCTCTCTATATATAAAACATTGATAAAAACTTGTAATTTTTATGTGGTTGCATAAAAATAGAAACGTGCCTTATGTTTTACAATTTACATGGTTGACATACCTTCTACACAGTTTGATTACCTCCAATTCCTCTTACACACACGCACACACACACACACACACACACACACACACACACACACTGCTGGAACCTGGGGGAGGAAGGAACATGTTCTCTTTGCCCTTTACTCACATCAAACTTATAACCTCCTGAAACAAAACAAGTTATAGCTTTTTGGATGATTTTCTACCTTCAGTAGAAGTACAACTTCTTCCTGCCTCTCTCGGGTCGGCTGTGATGTCAGCCAAGTGACACTTGAAGCTGCTAGAAACATTAAGAAAGAAGAAAGAGGGGAAAGAGGCACAATTAGTATTTTTTACTTTGTGATAATACGTACCTCTTTCCTCTCCTCGAGTTCCTGGAATTTGATGTGACTGATTTCCTCCCAGGTAAGGTGGTGACCTTCCACCATGTCCCTTTCTTATGCTAGCTGACACATTTGTCAATCTTTTCTAAGCGAAGAGAGAAGAAAGGCAGGTGACTTATGAAAATACAGCCAATATAGAGTTTCCTTCAGATGACACTTTTCTTATCACTTAATGAGGAAATACAGATATTGAGTCGGTGAGTGGTCCACCTGATTAAAAACACATTAAATCTAGGGGCACCTGGGTGGCTCAGTCAGTTAAGCATCCGATGTCAGCTCAGTCATGGTCTCACGGTTGGTGGGTTCGAGCCCCGCGTTGGTCTCTGCGCTGACAGCTCAGAGCCTGGATCCTGCTTCGGATTCTGGGTCTCCTTCTTCCTTTGCTCCTCCCCCTCCCCTGCTTGTTCTCAGTCTCTCAAAAAGAAATCAACGTTAAAAAAAATTTTTTTTGAAACACAGTAAATCTTATTTTTATTAAAATGCAACCACTTGTTAGCTTTTAAAAATTAACCAAAACTCTTCTAATATTAAATTTTAAACATAACTTTAATGGAAAAATGTTATCAAAAAGAGGTAGCATCTGTCCATTTGGCTGCAAAATGAAAGTGGGGTCAAAATGTTCCTGTTTCTCAGGGGAGTATAAATTTTTTTTTTCAACGTTTATTTATTTTTGG